TATAATTTTGTTATTTGCCACTTGAATTTTTACAATAATTGAAATTATGACTTAATAGTAGTAGGACGGGATGACTTCATATTTTAATGAAGAATCTGATTTTTTATTTAATTTTGAATTATCTGTTATGACATTGTTGAAGTTGAAAATTCTAATAATAATGGGTCAACAAAATCTATTCATATTCTTGTTTTACTCAAACCAAACAAAAAGTATAAAATATTAAAGCAATTTATCAAATTCGTTTATTATTTTTAAGTTTAGGAAGCAAAATTAATGGTACATTTTAGAATTATCATAATTTTATTAAATAAATTCTATTGTTTTTTAGTCTTTGATACTTGAACCCATAAAATTTATGAAGTAACTTATAACGTATTTGACACTAAGGAAATCTATTGTATTTTTTTACTTTCAATAAAAGTCAACAATAATTTTAACAATTTCAGTGTCGTTGTTTTATAAGCAATCGAATTCACTTCTCAATTGTAAAATTTCGTATACTTATACTTATATATTAATAAATATATATTATATAAAGTAGATTTAAAAACCTTAGATAATTAAACTGATTTAAGTAGGAGCCGAATGCGATTAAGTACGAAAAACACGAACCATTGGAAAATGAACTTAATTCAGCATATTTGGGTAAACGGGACAATTCTGTTCACATAGAACTTAAAATTTCATTTGATTCAATATTTTTAATAATTTTTATAAGCATTTTACGAGTTTACAGTTTCGAGTACAGTAGTGTCAACACTTTTAGAAGTAAAAATAAAAATCTTTAATTAGTATGACTAAAATTCAACAAAATAAAAATTCTGCAATTTGAATTTTGTAAAAACTATTGCCTTGAAATTCTCTCATAAGTGCCTAAAAGTACCTGCGTTGATAACATGGGCGCCTAATTTACAATTGGTACTTGAGATTACAATGGTTTTTATCATTTTATTGTTACAAAAGCATTTAATTTTTAATATATAGGATAATAAAAAACTAGAAATATCTTTTAATTAAATAAAATTTAATTAATTATCAAAATTTGTTATTTTACAAAACGAAAAAGATTAAAGTTTCTATTTTCTGAAATTTTGGTAGCATTACCAAACGAAAACCGTTCATCTTTATTTTATTTATATGTATACGAGTATAATATGTACTTCTTTTCAAAAAAGTTTTATTTCAATAATCTTTATTTTGTATTTAAAATTAGGATGCCGTAAATCATTCGAAATAAATGCCTTTTCAATTTCTAGTTTCTACATAATAATAGAATTGAATTTTGAAACTTTCATTTTTTCCAAAATTTTGTTAAAATTTAAAACGAAAATAATGTTTAGGTATGAAAAAATTGAATGAAAATGTTGTTATTTCAATAGAAAATGCATTTAAAACAAAAAGTTTACTATAAAGACTTACACAGAAGTACATACTTTAGCTTTGAATAAAGTGAAGATGGTGGAACATCACACAAAAAATAGCTTTGATTTTGATTTGTAACATTATAATGGGGAAACTGCATGTCAGTTCGACTGAATTGAATGATGTTTTAATTTTGAATAGCTTAGATTTATTTACCAATTCATTTTTTGTTTTTCTTTTATTAAAAATAGAAAAGTTTTTTGGTTTTCATTTCTGTATCATTAACAATTTTTTTTATTCTGTTTTAAATTTCCGGTCTTTTTTCATTCAAATAAGTGAAAACTAAAATTATATTATTAAAAATATCAAAGAAAACTTTTCAAAATTTATAAACTGTGGCTGAAAATCGCGCTCTAAATAATGCCTAATTTTTTTTTGATTTGAAAAATCTTTTATATTATTTTATTTGCGCTCTTTTACATAATTGTTTTGTAGTAGCTTTTGCTTTATTTATGAATTGACGAATAAGTTATTATGATATTTGGTAATTTCGTACACTTATATGTGTAATTAAATATAATCAAAATTTAGTACTTTAAAGGTGATTTTAATTTATGTTTTCATTTAATAGAACCTTTAAAGAGAAAGTAGATATTTTGCTGAAAACTAAAGAATTACCTCAAAAAACAAACGCTCTATGAAAAATTGATTTTAAAAAATGATTTAGTTTTTAAGTCAATTAAAAAAAATTTCAAACACTTTACGCAAAATATGCAAACAACGAAAATTAGCAAAAAAATGGTTAACAAAAAGAAAAGCGCCCTAAACTATGTTATTTGTTTTAAAAGCTTCAGTTGTTTGGATAAAATTTTATGCAACTTTTACATTATGTGTGAGCATAATGTTTACGTCTTGTATTGTAAGAAGTATGTTTGCAACTGTTAGATAATAATGGTTTGGAGATTTTTGCTCAATATCGATTTCTAAATCGTCTTATTCGTGTCTGATTATCTCGCAATATAAGTGAACTTAATATACTTATATTAACAATAATATTGTGTAGTAATGTGAACATAAAATAACTTCATTAGCTTTGGTGAAATTGGTAAATGGCAGCAATTATCGGTTTACATAATTTATCAATATAACATCGTCAACTTAAAAATTCTCATTTATATTAATAGTATTGTGTCGAAGTTTTGCTCGCTGTACAGGGAGTGAAAAAAGTCAAGCAAAGTTTGCTATTGAAAATTAAATAAATTAAATTTAAAAGTTTAGAACTTATTATCTTTAATCAATACTAAAAATTGTTTATTATTTATGAAAAAAAAATTAGATTTTAAGTTATTTTTAAGTTTTTTGGAGTAGTTTAGATTTTTTTTACAATTATCTAAAATCTCTACATTCTATACCATTATACGGCTTGGTAATTTAGCATCAAGTTTATATGTACATTTATATATATCAAGTACATATATACATGTGTAGTTTAATGTTAACTAAGTTCTATGTGGTTAGATAAACACTATTTTTATTGCGGTTAGATAAACAACTTTATGATATCGCTAAGATTTCAAATTGAGGTTTCCTAACCACACTAAAAAAACAGCAACAAATCTTATCATGTTAAATAAATATACTTAGTACTTAATTTAAATAACAGTATACAAAATTATAATTAAAGTATTAAAATTATAAAGTTTAATTATGTTTTGAAATTATTATTTTGGACTTAGATTTCGTTAATTTTATTTTTAGTCCTAAATTCTTCTAAAATAAAATTTGAAAGTGATATAGGGTTGATTGAGCAGACAATCATTCATAAATGGCAACAAACGGCCTCACTTCTCACTTTGCTGTGAAAGCTTTTTCAATTGGAGCTATTTATTCTGTGCAACACAATTTTTTTTTTAATTATTGAATTCGGATTCTTTAATAAATTCAAAAAACCAGATAACAAGTTAATGTAATGGGTACTCATGTGATTTGCAAAACTAATTTAAATGTGAAGAATAGATTCTTCAAAATCGAATTTATTAAAAATAGAAACACTGTGCCTTAAAGCTATAAAATATAAACTGATACTTGCACATAATCACACATAGTTTGCTTTTAGGTTACTAAGTTGAACGCTATTGAATAAAAACTTAATTGCATGCTGTTTAATTAAAAGTTTCTTAACCTCAAATACGTCGTTTATTACTGTTGCAATTTTGATCATATTTAATCAGTTTTAGTTAAAAATGCAAAGCAAATCATATTTTGCATAGATTAACAAAATATATATACATATGTATATACATATGTACCGTTGCTTGCAAATTTTTGATAACATTATTATTGTACTCCGATAAGACTTTTCAATCAATTCAATTGGAGTATTCAACTTTTATTTCTAATAGAATCGTGTTAAATGTCAATTACATTTTGTTCTTGCCAGCATTGTTTTATCAACTATATAAATATATACGTAACGTACATGCTTATTCTCATGTATTTTAATATGTCACCTTAATTTATTATTTAAAATAAATTAAATTTTGAATAAATTAAAAATGGTGTTCTGTCGCTTCTTTTGAACATATACTCTTGCTATCATAACAATTGTCTTAGAATTTCTTTTTTTTTTGTAATAATAATAAATTAAATATTATTTTAAAACAAACAATCAACAAAATATATTTTCAACTCCGTTATATAAAACAAAATTATCATTTTATATTCAAAATGTACAAAAGTATACTTAAATATTTTATAAATTTATACATTTATTAAAATTAATTTAATTTTATAATTATGATTACGCTATGATGTTAAAAGAGCACGAAGATACGTCAGTAAAAAAGGTGATTAAATTGAGGTTGCTTAATTGAATTCAGGAAAAATAAATAAACACATAAAATTCATTTGCGATAAGTTTTCTAGCAAAATTATAGTAAGATTTGACAGGAATTTTCTTGTTTACAATCAAAATTGATTTAGTATTTAAATGTGTTACGTTTACGTGAAACTACTTGTGAATTATTTTAATATACCATGGACATGATACGTGCATCAACGTAATTTATGAATTGTAACGCTCAGTTACGGTTAAAAGGAAAATTTTACTTTAAAAAAGTCTCATCGCCATATTATGAAATTATTTGAAATACAACCCTATATTAACAATCCTTTTACTTTTTGTTCATATTAGGTTTCACTTGTTGTTAATATATCAGTGAATAACAAACTCGTCGTTAACACTATAGCATAGTTACACTGAAATTTTTGTTAAGTGTTCATTTTATAAGTATGTAGTTTATAATTTTTAGACTAAACCAACATTAAAAATTTTACAGTACTTGCGCATTTTATACTAAGGTTTTTTGTTGCATTTTTGTTGTATAATATATAGTAAAAATTTCTTTTTGAGCCTTTCATTGGAAATATGAAAAGAATCCTGAACCAAGTCCACAAAAGTAAGAAACGTTTTGAGTCTAAACAAATTTTCGAGACTATACAAACTATTGAGAATTCGGAAACATACACACTAAAACTACATTTTTGATTTTAAAACTCTATTTGATATTACATTTTGTAATATTTTTTATTTAAATTATTTAATCTCATTCCTTTTTTCTTTGAATTCTTTTCAGATGACACAAAAGATTCACAAAAAGATCAAATTTCTAATAAAAAATTAGATTCCAATTCACAAAGTCATACAACAAATCTTCATCAACATCAACATCATCATCATCAACAACAGCAAAACTCTCAAAATTCAAAAACAACAAAATCATCAAAAACACGTCATAATAAGAGAGGTACGACTAATAGTAATACTACTAGTAGTAATGATAGTAAAGCATCATCACATCCTTGGTTAGCATCAAATCTAAAAGGACATACTGATGATATACATGATATCGATTTTTCGAATAATGGAAAATTTTTAGCTTCATGCAGTGAAGGTAAGTTTACAAATTATTTAATTCAAAATTTTGTAGATAAAATTTAAAATATCATTATATAATTTCAATATACATTTTTATATTAATCATTGTTAAATCATTTTCATTTCACACATACTTAAGTACTCGTATTTTTAGTTTTTATTTGCTTATTCATTAATATTATTTATGGTCATATATGCATTAGTACATGGTACATTTTGGTAAACCACATACTTAAATTAATTTGCTTTAAAAACACGTGTATAATAATTATTACATATTATTATTGGATCATAGTAATTATTATTCAAAATAATTTAGAACAATATTCGAAAACATTTGTATAACAAACCAAAATTTTACATAATCTCTATAGAAAAAATGTATATGTATATGTACGTATATATGTATATATATAATTTAACATTGTTTACATTTAACAAATTAAGATTGTAAACTAAATGATAATAAAAAATATCATCGTTACTATTTTGTAATTAAATTAACTAAATTACACAAAATTGAAGTACATTATTATTAACCCTAGAACATTTTTCAACCATTTCGATAATTCAAATTCAAAAGCAATACCTTGATACCAAAAAATAAAATACCTTGACTTTAAAATGGCAATAATACGGTATTAATACACAATTCATTTTATATGAACTATAATTGCTGGATTGTGTACCAGTGCAGTATTTAATTATACAATTTGGAAATCACACGTAAAGTTTTAATAATATTATCTTCAAAAATTAATTTTTTCTCATAATTAAAATGAATTAATTCATTTTCTACTTTCTCTGCGAAATGCACAACTTTGTTTTTAATTTAGTATAAAAATAATTACAGCCATATATTTTATAAATATGTTCTATTATCATAATTTTTATTTGATGATTATGTTTAAGGATAATTTATCTTTATAGCATAATTTCATATCTTTAACCATATACCATCAGAATCATAAAAAGATTTAATGTCAATAACATAGTCTACAGTTTTATAATTAAATTATTTTGTACTTATTAAATTTATAAAATCTTAATGAACAAACTCAATGCAATAATAATAAAAATAAATAAAAAAAAAATTTAAATTATGAACGGGAAATTTTCGAAATTCCAGAAAATGAGTTAATCATCTAATAATTCCTATTTCTTCTTCAGTACCATGCTCACACATACATACACAAATGCGGTTGATGTAAACTTAAGGATAAATCTTTAAAATTTTCTAATAATGACTCATGAAATTATTTTAGAAAATTGTAAATATAAAACAAAATTGTATTTAAATGGTTGAATTAGTCATTCCTTTCAATTTGAATTAAATTACTTAGTTGGCTTGCTTATAAATGAAAAAAAACTTAACCAAATATTTTATTTATATTTGAAGTGTTTAAAAATTCGAAAAACAGTTTTCACTTAATTTAAAAAAAAAAATTTTTATTACCTTTTATAGCTGAATATTAAACTGGAATTTGTTCAAATATGAATAATAAACTATTTTTTTCGCCATAAATGCACATTTAGAAATATTTAGCATATAAGAACAAAAGAAATTTTTGCAATTTCTTGATACACAATTATAAAAATAGTTATTTAAGTTTTTTAGTTTACTTTATTATACATAAATATACCATTTGTACATAAAAAACAAACATTCTTTACATAACACTGTACATTTTTACTTTATAAATTTATTAGTAATAGAGAGACTACATTTATCATCATCGGTAAATTTCCCATATTGTGCTAACTCATTTTTCGACACATCGTAGTTTATTATTGAAAACCAAATATTTTTAAATCTAGTTCATACTGCCAAGATGTTATTCCGAAATTTGCGATATTTCGTTAAATTCAAAAGCGCTAATTTAAAAAAACAAATAAAAATGCGCTTAATTAAATCACTTGACAAAGTGAAATGCGTTTTACTCAAAATTTAATTTTTTTTGACTTAGCGCCTTGTAACATTTATATTTTATTTCTGTTTTGATTTCTTTCAATATTTTATTATTTATTGTATAATTATGTTCATGTGTATATGTGTTATGTACATATATGTGCATAATATAATAATTATTTTTTCCGTCTACGGTACACACTTATTCAATAATTTTGAAATATTAATCAAATGCCTAGTAGCTATTTTTTTACTCCTTTAATTTTGCTCTTATTACTGATGGTGATATCTGGTATGAAAAAAGCAAAAATACATAGATATTTTTCAGTTTCATTTTATCTAGGCGTTTTTTGTTATCTGACATTGCACTGAAATTTTTTTTGTTAAAGCGTTTATGTCTGGTAACTCGTCTAATTTCTCTCGTTTTTCTTTTTTCCACGTCTCGTTTTGTGAAATAACATTTTTTTTTTAATGAACGATTTTATATATTATTATTTAGAAATTCGTTTTATACAACCATTTTTGTTGACAGACTTGTAAATTAATAAATTTATTAATAAAAATTATGTGATTATGACAAACAAATGTTTTTTTTTTCGTTCACAATATAAAATATACATACATACATATGTATATTTTTGTATGTATGTACAAATTTTGTCTTGTATGTAATATGTTCGAAAAAATAATCATGCGATTATGAATTTTTTTAATATTATATAAAGTTAATGAGCTAATGAAAAAAAACTGATTAGTCAATAAATAATCGAGCATATAATGAAATCGATTATGAGTAATGAACGAATTGGAACGTCTAATGATTGGTTTTGTACATTATAGAAACAATTTGATACAACAAAATTAAATTAATAATTGTTAATATTTTAGAACCATACGCTTAAAATGATTAGTATCAACATACCAAAATAGTTTTCAAAGTGTTATTTAAAATTGAATTATATATGTAAATACATATATACATACATATATACGAATTTTTGGATTATAATTATTTAACTGTCATGTATAACAATGAAAAAATGATAATTTCACAAAATTACGCTAATACAAATTCGTGTGTTTGAACTGAAAATTACTAATTAAGTAATAACTACTAGTTATTCGAAAAAAAAAAACATAATAAGATTAATAAACTTTGATTACAAGTCTGTAGGGACATTAAAAATATGTCAACTTGTGTTGTTTTAAAAAAGTATAAAACCGTAAAATTACACTAAATATCTTTAATTGTTATACACTTTTTTCATGTGATTATCATAGCATGCTTAAATTAATTTATAAAATTGTAATATAATTATATGTGTACATTTTTAAACAAATTAATTGAGTTTAAACTAATTTTCTAAAAAAATTATTACAATTTAAAAACGAAAAAAGGGTAATTAAAAATTATTTTGTACAATTTTCACAATGTTTGCGCCCAGTGGATAAGTCGAAAATATCAATACTATAACTATATATAACTAATAGTGTCTCCAATTATTTATGTACTTCTAATTTGAAATGATGTGATTGAAAATATGTATGTATGTATGTATATATATAAATCATATATTTAATTAATAAAGTTAATGAAATAATAGTTTCGATTATTGAAGCGTGACTTCAACGACTAATACATATTATATGTATAGGTATGTACTATTCACTTGCTGTTTCATATTACATATTAATTCATTGTATTGTTCATATAATATTTATTTTTAATATATGTACATACATAGATATTTAATAAAATGTGTATAGTCTGCTGGAAAGTAAAGAAAATATTTAGAGTTGTATTTATAATTGCAGTTAAATATGAAATTGTTAATTGTTAAATTCATCATAATTTGATACAATATGATTTAAATAAAGCCTTCAAATTTTCTCACTATACGAAACTAATAGTTTTGCGGTCTTTAATAAGGGAAATTTTTTAAAACACTGTTCATATTTTTTATCTATGTAAATAATCCGCTTATTTTTTTCCGCATATTACTGTATAAATTTCAAAACGCTTTTACTACATAAAAAGAATTTTCGAATTAGTGCTCTTATTTCCTTGATTAGATTTCTTGTTTACAATACATGTAAATTCTTAGTTATTTATTATTTTTAAAAAGTCGACTAAATATTTCGAAAGAAGGTGCGTGAATTTTCTACTCATATATTCACAAAAAAAATCCTATTTGAAAATTAAATGTTAACAGTTGTAACAGAAGTAACAGTTACATGTTACTCACTCACTTTTCTCTTACTGGATGATCAAAACATGAAATGCAGAACAAGAATCTTAAAATGCTCGATTCTATTCAGTTTTTTGATATTATTTCAATACAAATTTTAATTTTTTTGCTTAAATTAAGCTCTAAGTTCTATCAAAATGTATTCGCCACTTTGTTTTTTTTTAGTTGTTTTATGACGTAACATTATAATAAAACCGAAAGTGTCAATAAAAAAAAATTTTTTCATTCACCGACTAACAGACATATAGCACAATATAGAACCTACAGCATATGGGTAATAAAAACAACAAAAAAAAATATAGTACCCTATCCATTTACCACCGCCACACCAACTTAAACTTTATATAGCGGAGCGGCTTACTAGAAAACTACTCAAATATGAAATTTAGCAGTGACATGTAAAAAAACAAAAACAAACAAAAAAAAAATAAATTAGCATTTTTATTTAATTTTTCTTTTTTGATTTTTTCTTTTTGCAACACCGATTTTGATCATGATTTAAATTAGCGTTTATAATATCGCGTCATCATTTTAATTATTAATCATAAGTAGTTATGCGGTCATAAGTCCATGAAATACATAATAAATGCACAATAAAAGAAAAAAAGAAAAAATTGAAACAAAAAAAAGTAAACAAAAGGTTGAAATGATCACTAGGCGGCACTATTAATTTTTTTATTGTATTTTTTACTTTTATTTCTTGAGAGTCTTATATGCTTATATGTAGTGCTATACATGTACACATTTATTTCACTATATTAAGTTTTATTATTATAATACTATATTTAAAAATAATAAGTCAATAAAAATATCGCTCTCTCAGTGCAATAGCGCAACAAGTCAAAATAATCAATTTTT